CCCCTAAGGAGCTCAGCGACGGTTGCTGGGTTCCTCGGAACCCACGCTTGGGTAACCCAGTTGTTGCGTTCGAACAAACCCAGGCTTGGGTTCCTTGGAATCTAGTTGGGTCTTCAAACCCAAGCGCTGGGTTCGTCGAACCCATCGCCTGGGCTCGATCGAACCCAAGCACTGGGTTCTTCAACAAAAAAATAAATAAATAATTTCTATGTTTTGGTGGGTGTTGTTTGATGATGATGATGATGAATTGATTGATGAAGAAGGAAAGGAAGAGGAAGAAAAAAGGGAACGAGGAACGCGCAGCTGGGTTCGAAGGAACCCATCGCTTGGGTTCGTTGAACCCAAGCTTTGGGTTCCTTGGAACTCACACTAGGTTCGTCAAACCTAGGCTTGGGCTCCTTGGAATCCAGTTGGGTTCCTTTGAACCCAATCGCCTGGGTTTGACGAACCCATGTGTTGGGTTCAACGAACCTGAAGGAACCCATCGCCAGGGTTCGACGATCCCAAGCTCTGGGTTCCTTCAAACTCGATGTTGGGTTCAATCAAACCCAGGCATTGGGTTCTTCAACAAAAAAATAAATAAATAAATTTATGTGTTTTTGTGGGTGTTGTTTGATGATGATGATGAAGAATTGATTGATGAAGAAGGAAAGGAAGAGGAAGGAGAAAGGGAACGAGGAAGAAGAAAGGGAACGAGGAGGGAGAAAGAATTTTTTAAATTTTTATTGCCATATCACTAGTTTTTGCCATGTTGTCTTCCACGTGGGTTAAAATTTTGACATGTCATCATCTTACCATGAATTAACAGTACACGTGGAGAGGTTTTTAATGGAATGATCAAATTGGAGTAAAAATAATAAACAGTAGGGACCACATCAAGGATTCTTTGAATTGAGGGACTTAATCAGAGGTCTATACAATAGTTGAGGGACCAAAAAAGGAGTTTAACCTAGCATTTTTTACCGATCTTCAATGACAATTTTTGTTTTTTCTTTCTGTCCTGACTACCTCCCACAGTCCCATTTACTCCATTCATTCCCAAAATTACATAAATCCCTAGCATGTACAGTTCGTCCCTGCCTCCAGATCGCCGGCTTCTGATGGCTTTTTGCTCCTCCCTTTCCTTCCAGTCCCTCGCCTTCTTTTTCATCTTCCTTTCTCTCTTGTTTTGTTTCCTCTTTTATGCTCTTATACAAGTGTAGACTTTATCTTGTTTAGTTTGCTTCGCATTTTTTTTCCCCTTATTTAGTTTGTTTCCCGTAGATTTAGCCTTAAATTTGCTTGTTTATTGCACAATAAGCTCTCTTTCTGCTAATTTCTTCTCATTTTCTCTTTCCCCCTCTTAGATCTTGTGGTTTGGACATGTTGGGATTAGGCCTAGCACCCACTTCAGGCCACATGCAACAGACTCAATTATACACTCACGTGGACCAATTGAATGAATACATATCTAAGTTCATGTCAGTATTTGGGGTTATAAATACCCCCAACTACTTCTATGTAAGATATTAACTCTCCAACATGTCTCTCTGTAATTACTTTTCGAGAGTATTTCTTTTTAAAATATTGAGTATTGCTGACTTGAGCGTCGGAATGTTTTCTTCATGAAAACATCTTCAAAAATTTTAAGTGTGAAAGTAGCCGAAAACTTCAACAATGTTGGATGAAGCTGCCCAAACAGGACGTTATGATTATGCAGACGCAAGTCAAGCGACGATCGTTTTGATTTTTTTGTTCTTTTTCCCAGACGTGCAATCTGTATCGCTGGAAATATAATATGCTGGTACGCAAGATATCAGTTGGTATTACGTCAAAGTTTGACTGATATGGCTGAAATTTGACTGGATCAAAAATCATGTTAATACCATTTCAGATGAATGACAGAATCAGTATCTTCCGCATTTGCTGTTGTGGCCAGTTCTGCCACTGTAGCTCAAAAGGCTGCCAATGGAATGCATTTTTACCATTGGTCGAACCTGGTTAAAGAGAGTAAGTTACTAATTTCTAATTCTTAATGCTTAATTACTGTGCTTGTCAAAAAAAAAAAAAAAAAACTTCCGGCCCCGCTACGTTACGAAATCAACAATCTTAAATTGTTTTTTACACCCAGTAAAAGACAAGTTACTTACATCAAAGATAAAGAGGAATTAAACATTAATTAATAAATTAGGAAACCAATCCCTTACCAATTAATCTATCATTCTTCCAAAATTTTATAAGCTTATTTCATTATAAAGCAAAATATTTTAATTGAAAATTATATAATTATAATACTATATATGTAATATGATAAATTTATAATATAATATATTATCATATAATTGATTTTTTTCCATCAATGTTTATAAATTATATTATATATCTATTCATTTAATGACACATCACATTCATTTAATGATATATTGACACCATGATTGTAAACTTATGATTATATTGGATTCTTTGATATAATGATTTGAAATTAACAGTTAGTAGTTTTAATTAATCAAATGAATAAGAGTGTTTAAAATAATAATAATAATAATTATTATTATTATTATTATTATCAACCTTTAAATTAGATAAAACTATTAATTGTTAGTTTCAAATTATTATACTGAACAACCCATATGTAATTGTAACATTGTTGCCATTTAAATTGATGCTTAAAACACCTATAGATTGAGTTGTTGATTATAAACTAATAAAGATTTATAGTCGAAAAAGGAGAAAAAACCTAAGATTGCAAGTAAATAAAGATGTTTATAATCAATAATTTAAATAATTCAATAATAATTTTTTTAAGTAAGAATAAGAGATTTAGAATTCGAGTCACACAATTAAAAAAATGTTTACTAGTTAATTTAAAATAAAATTCCTCTTATAACCCTAATGGGTTGAGTTTGAAGGTTTAAATAAATATTTAAATTTTAAGTCTTAGAATAGGACTTCAGAATTTAGGACTCTTTTTTTTTTTTTTCTTTTTTAATGTTTTTGGCCAGCTATGAGTCCTTTACAACAGCACAAATTCTTGGACGTACAAATTAAGGGTGAGTTCATAGTGTATGAATTACTACAGATATTAATTTGTTATAGTAGTAAAATTATTAATTTCAATTAATGTTTAACATTGATACAATTTTACAACACTTTAAAACAATATCACAACACCACTATAATTTTGAACAATGACACCATACAATCACAAGGCCTAAAAAAAAAAAAACATACAATCACACCTAAGTACAGTAATCTTGAGGAATCCTTGTAGATTAACTGACCATTTATTCACAAAACCCTCCTTCTCTCTCACACCCAGTTGGTTTGTCCCTTAAAAAAAAAAAAAAAAAGGGAATCCCAAACCTTATTATAATTATTATTATATTTTTGTTTGGCACAAATCTCAGACTTTATTTATTAATCACTGCTATTCCTTTATTTGTTTCCTCGCTTCTGAATCACCTCCCTGCAAATAAAAGCATAGAAAATTACGGAAGGGAAACTAGTAAGATTTAAGGGATTCGGTACTAAAGTAAAATTTTAAATTTATGAGAAATATATAGTATTTTTAAAATAAATATTTTTTAAAATGTTTTTAAACGTCCTCGTAATAAAATTTAATGGGTTGGGTTAAAAACAAACACACAAACAAACCTGAGGGCACGAGTGAGACAGACAGCAGTGGCGAAGTCCCCTGCTTCACGAGCCTTGAGGATTTTGAATACAAGAGCCAGCAGAAGCTGACTCCGAGCTTTCTGTTTCGCAATCACCTCCGTTTCCTCTCTCAAGCTGGGGCATTGCTCTTTAATTTGTTCCAACCTCCCTCGTATTTCTGTTTGGTCTTTTCTAATCCGTTTCTGATCTATACTGATCTCCGCCATCTCCGCTTTCAATCGCTTCATGTTTATTCTCAATTCTTTCTGCTTCCTTGGCCATGTGGATCGAGAAAACCCAATTCGGTTTCTGGATTCGACCTGAATTCTTCTACTCACAGCCATGGATCCTAATTTTTATTGATATGTGCGTCGTACAATGTTGTACTCTGTTTTGCTGATGATCTGATTCTTCTAATGGCAACTGTATTTATAATCATCAAACC